TATAACCTTTTATTTATTCAGTTTAAAAATTTAACGGTTTTCAGAAAGATCAAGTTTTTCACGGTAGCATCTCGAATCAGTTTTTGCAAAATAAATATTTTATTTATTTATTCAGAAAATTGTGAAAAACGCGTACTCTAATAGTGTTACAAAGTCGGGATGTTACAATTGGTATCAGAACACGTTTCTGCGTCTCTGAAAAGTTTTTCAGTCAGTAAATTTTTAGAAAAACCTGAACCGTCACGCTCACGCCTCGCCGACTCCAGGTAAGTGCTGATTCAGTTTTCAGTTATAAACATATTACTTTGTCTATGCTCAGAAATCAGTAATAAGACTTAGTTAAGATGCTCGAATCAGGTTCAGACTTTAGAGTTCAGATATAACTCTAGAACTTAGTATACTCAGATATGACTCTAGAATTTAGTATCTTCCGATATGACTCTAGAGTTCCTCAGGATTCATGTCAGTAATTATCGGCCATTTTTGGCAACACGTCAAGAGATTTGAGTGCGTTAGTAATCAGTCAGAGTATTTTATCATGTGTTCAATAATGTTGAAATTTCTCAATGATCAGATGCCGTCCTGTAGGGAACCCGATCACCCGACTCTTACTAAGGCCACAGTAGTAGCACAGTTCCGCGACTATCATGCTGAGAAATTCTCCGGGCAGGAAGATCCCCGTATCGTGGACGAGTGGATTCAGAACCTTAGACATGAATTTAGTTTGAGAACTCTAGATTTAATTCTAAATTTATTCAAGTCAAGTTAGCAACTTGTCAGGAGATTTGTAAGCACTTGTGCTAAACAAATCTTAATAATCATGTTTCTCAAATATTTCTACCGAAAACTGCCATTTTGCCAATAAATTGGCAGACTTCAGGAAGAAATTCCTTGATTCAATTCGAGGAATAGACTCAAATTTCCTAAGTCAGATCAGTAAATCATGATCAAGGCAAAAAAAAAAAAAATTCATGTTACAGGTTGTTATAATTCTCAAGTCATTGTTAAGGTAACGGTTTCTAGTGTATAAGAGTCAATAGTCCGGGTTACAATGGAGGCTTGAAATAAGAGCCATTCAGCCGGGTATACCATGGAGGCTTGAAGCTGAAACTGGAGTAATATGATTTCAGGTAATAACAACCTTTCAAATCAGTCATGTCAGATATTTTATCAGTCATGATATTTCAAGTTATGATTTTCAAGATCAAGATCAGCTAATTACTTTATACTTATGGGACTAGTTGATACTGGAGCAGCCCTATACAGTACAGAGTTATAAATTCATGTTCATGATTTACAGTCTATATTCATGATGTAAGGTCGACGTATAATAGTTGTTCAACCGGGTTAAATGTGGCGGTCTGATATACAGACCATTAATCCAAATTTACCTGGAAACTTGAAGTCGTACCTTATCGAGTCAAGTAAGTCAGTAAATATCACGTTTTCAATCTCGAAGCGACTATTTAGTTGTCTCGGGATAGTTTCAGAGTTCAGACAAAGATGATTCAGTCATGTAAGAGTCAAGTCATGGTTATTCAGTCATGAAAATATTCAGGCCAGTCATGTCAAGATCGAGAATAGTCTGTATAATAAGACAAAACTTATTTATCATTTTCAAGGTGTCAGCGCCTCGAGTCTCAAATTCTGAAGAATCTGAGAAATCGGGGGAGATATTCATTCATGATGGACTTCTTCTTGACGTTAAGTTTAACCTCGGAGGGAGTAAACAGTTGCAGGTACCACAGGTTGACATACGCCGCGACGAAGAAGGGCCAATCGATAGCAACAGATCGTGCCATGATGACAAACCGACGCTTTCCACCCCAAGATGCCACGCTTGAGTCTCAGTACACTGGGAGATTACAGAGAGTTAGTATTAACGTACATTGAGGTTACTAGCTTGAGGTATAAATGCGATCAGATTACGTCAACGATGCAGGTGCAATATTCGCCAGGTGCTGTATGCAGGCGTGCCGCACTCACTTGATGAGGAGCAGGTTTGCCGCATTACAATGTGCCACGAACGATGTGCCGCGTTGTCGAGCAGATATTCATGAAAAGTAATTACCAATACAACTAGTTATCCTCATTTGTACATATGTGTATCTCTGGAATCTTCTGTGTGTACCTTCGACAGGAGTCTTCACAACCAGCGTTCAGACTGGAGATCAGCCAGCAATCAGAAGATGATGACCAATACGCTTCAGAGTTTCGTTTTGAGATCATGTTTTATCAGTGGAACACTTTATTTTAGAAAGTGTCCATTCTCAGTCAGCAGTAATCAACAATTCACTTAAATGTGAATTGATGTATCTTCAGTTCAGATTAAGTCTATTATTCAGTATTAAGGTACTGAATTCTCAAGTCATGTAATCAGTAAGTATAAGCTTTAAGTTAAGCTTGTACATTCCAGTTTTAATATTTCCGAGGACAGAAATATTTTAAGGGGGTGGATTGTAACGCCCCGTATTTTATTAATAAAGGAAATACTAGCTTTTAGTTTTAAGCTAGCATTTGTAATAAATAGTCATGTTCATGTTCAAGTTCAGATTGATCAGTCAATTATATTCTATGTTCGACTATTAGTCGATAAGTTATTCGGTTTACTTATTTTAGTAACCGAATAAGTTTTCAGATTTAATTCCGATTCATTTAATTAATTAATGAGTCCGGAATTAATTGTTCAGTCAGCGATATCCCGTCAGTTTATCAGTATAGATTATGTTTTAGTTCCGATATTAATTTTCGGAATTAATTATTTCAGTCAATTCAGTCGAGATTACCGAAAATTATTTTCGACATACTGTTTATGTTCAGAATAATTTTGGTAATTAAGCATTATGTTTAATTAATACTTAAACATAATGGAGTGATTAATTAATCACTAATCATGATTATTATCTAAAGCCGTACCACATAGCTCATTTAATTCCCTAAGGCCGTAAGTAAATTGGAGTTGGGAAATAATTCCTTTTCTTAAGCTTGTACGTGTCTTCTTTGGGTTCAATTAGAGATGAATAATCCAAAAATTTTCATGACTAAGCTAGGTGATGTGTTAGGTGTCATGAGAAGATTAAGCCACCTAAATCATTCCTCACCATAATAATTCCCAATCGATTATATATATACATTTAGTGGGACGAAATTTTCCACTCTTTAGTCATCCATTTTTCCTTATAAGTTCAGCTCTATTTTCCTTACAAGTTCAGTATATATATATATATATATATCAGAGTGAGAGAGTTAGTGAGTTTGAGAGATTGAGAGGGAGAATTCCATCGCACCCGCTAGCCGAAAGTATCGCACGCAATCGCACCGCACGACAACGCCACGCACGCGGAGAGCCACGCGAACACGGGAGTCCGAAGTTGTTGCCATTAGTTAAACATAATCAGAGGTAAACTCCCTGTCGTTGTAGGCTGAGATTATTACGTTTATTAGGTTCAGTTTTCCGTTTAAGCGTTCATGCGTATTATATGTTCTTAAGACCGTGCGAGAAGCCGTGCCGAGTCATGTCATGTTCAAAGTTGAATTCTCCGAACTATCCTCGTAGGTTTAGCCTTTATATGTAGCATCATGTTCAGATAAGCTTAAGTGTTCGGTGAATTATTCATGTTATTCGGTGTTCGGCCAAGGGAACGTGGTCGCGCATATAGCGCACCACGGGACGTACGCGAGTGTCAAGTATGTTAAGTTCATTTTCCTCGCACACTTTACGTGAATTTATTCAGTAAGTTATTGATCATGTTCAGTTAAGTATGTTTTGCCGAAAAGAAAATGAGTTCGGTCGTGAAAGCGGCTTAACGCCGTCGGCGGCGCACGGTGCGTCCGCCGCGGCCAAGTTCAGTCCATCGAGCAAATCTTCATGTTTTCAGTTTAAATCAGTTCATATGTTCATATTATGTTATCTGAGATTTGATTATTCAGGAGTTGTTGCCGGACGGCC